TTTAATATTCTGTTGTAAAAAATGGTTAGTAAGGATATTTACATTCCCCTTTTGTTGTTACTCCCTCTTTCCTACAGCAATTGTAGCAACCTGATCACTGAGCTTTGAAGCTCTCTGCCACAGGCAGACTGTTTGCCATCGAGTGAATAATGTGCACGTGCGGATTTTCTTGGGGAAACATTCTAACTATGCATGCTTATGCAGCAGGTTCTCAGTCAGAAAGCGTAACGGTCGTACATACAAACAAGCAGAATAATAATATAGATTCTATAAGAAAACTAGAAGAGGAATGCAGAATTGTTAGTTATTAAAATGTCAGTATTCTAAAACTTTAACATCTGGTTAGTGAATTACAATGCTTACTTTGAAATATTGCTGGAACACTATGCTTGAAGGTGATGGGAGAAAGTTTTAATTAATGAAAATCATGCTGAATGGTTATGTTATAACACTGGTAAGTAGATTTAATGGAATAGTTGCTAATATAGTGGACAAGATATCAATTATATGTCAACCCTTATTATTTCATTATATATATATACAAGCACTTTAAGTATAGTCAAATGTCTAAAGACAAAAACTAAATCCACTGTCTAAATACATAAAACATACATTTAATTGAAAAATGGGACAAGCCATTAAATATATATATATATATATATATGAAGGTTTTTGTACCTGTGATAATTCCAGGAGCACTTGCAGCCATAACTGGTTGAGGTAAAATTGCTGATGTTGTTAGAACAGGAGAAACAACACTTGGTACAGCTAGTCCTGGTGGGGGGATGATAGGACTTGTAACTGTTTTACACACCAGTGGTATTGATGGTGGACTTTCCAGTGACTAAAAGTTTTAACAGAGCATAATTACTGTAGAATTTATAAAACTCACAGGTGTGGTTCAGTCAAATTATAAAAGAACAGTATCAAAAGTCACAGAAAAATAATGTAAAAATATATATAAATATTGTGAGCTCTGACTTACACTGATAGAAGTTACTGGAATTTTAACTTTGTTCACTTTTAACATTAATGTTGTTAGAATTGTCTCTCCATCAACAACACATCCTGCAGGTTTTGTAATTTTAAAGTAAAATGTGTAAGTTATGAAACTATTAGTTTCTCATACTGCCATCATACCAGATAATTAATGGTTTAAATTTAGATATCTAGAGTTTAGACACAAGAAAATGTCTAGGTTTTGTTATGTTTAGGGTGAAGGCTGTTAAGTTTTTTATTTAAATAAATGCTTCAAACTCACCTACAACTCACACTACTAATCAGACAAAAACTGAAGAATGCATATGAAGGCAAACATGGAATTGTTAGATTTTGATTAAGTTTACTCTTAAGTTTTGTAGGTATTCTAAAGAAAACACTTTAATAAGTTATTAAACTTGATTTTTTGCAAAGTAAAAAGTACAAATATGTGACATCAGTATAAAACTCATATTACTAAATAATATGTAAAAAAGATTATATAATTTGGCATTGTGACTTAAGATTACAGATAGAACACTTAGTCCAATCAGATAATACAAAATCTAACTTAGCATCTCAGTACATTATCACAGATGTGATGTATTTTTCTTTGCATATTTTCTAATTTGGCCACCTTTGTATATGTATAATGTTTTTGTACTGATATACATTACAATGATAACCAAGATAAATATAAGTACTTTTTCATGAAGTATTTTTCCATTTTAAAATAGAAAGCTCTCAATAAGTTTGTTTTGGATGTTTGTTTGTTGAATTTTGTGCAAAGCTACTTGAAAGTTATCTGCACTAGCTATCCTTTATTTTCAAGTGCAAGATTACAGGGAAGGCAACTAGCCCACACTACCCACCATCAACTTTTAGGCTACTTTTTACCAATAAATAGTTGAATTGACTGTCACAATACAACACCTCCATGGTTGAGAGGGCTAGCATGTTTATGATGGGGATCAAACATGTGACCCAAAGATTGTGAGATGAGCACCCTAACCACTAGGCCATGGCTCTCAATAAGAATAAATAAAAATGGGTGGATGAATCAAAGGTTTTTCAATGATCACAGTTATATTATAGAAAATAACTTACCCCATAACAGAAATGCTATACTTATAAATAAAATAGTACATATTATCTGCAAAGATGCAAATTACCTCAAAAAAGTAAGATTTTCATTGAGTTGTTAGCATTTTAGCTTCTAAAACAGCAGGGTGGAATATTTTACACACCTGTTGTGTGGTATGTTTTATTGTGTTACAAAAATAAAGATTGAAATTTAAATTGATTTTCAACAATTATGAAGCTTCTACAAATAAAATATCTTATTTTTATATGTGATACTTGTATGAATTTGCAGCTTTGAAAACATGAAAAGACGTCATTGTGACATTGTCTTAATACCAATTAGAATGCTTAATTTTGCTGCAGATTTTATTACAGATTCTTATATCATTCTAAATTCTTCTATAATCAAAATCTGCAATAACATTTTTTACATATATAAAATGAAATAAAACGTTTTTTGATTGAATAACTTCAACTTTGAAGTATTTTTTTTTAATGTGTGGAAGAATGACTACATGGTTATTTTCCATAATTTTTAGCCGTGGCATAGCATCTCATAGCCCGCATCTCTTGACCGATTGGAGATCTAATTACAGTTCTGGCTCAGGAGGTCAAACTTTTTTATTAATGTATTTGATCATGTTCAAGGTCTCATAGATGAATTTACTCTAATCCTGTCTAAAAGAATTTCAAGTGCTGTGGCTGTTGAGGATTCCTTCTTGTTTTACATTCAATGGTGCAATTTTGCCTTAGGAAAGGCCGAACTCATCCAGTCACCATATTTAAAATGCCGATAATATGAAAAACAAAATATTCACATCACTTCATGCACAAAGAATAAGTATGACAAGTGAAGCACACTGTTTTATGAATTAAGGCTAAGTAACACAAGTTGTAGTCAAATATATGTAATTACTTCCTGATATACTGAAGGTTAAACAAAAATACTTACCATGGTGTTGGATGCAACAGCATCCATAGCTTGTATCTTAGCTGTTGCAGCTGCTGCTGCTACTGCTGCTGCTGTTGGCATAACTCCACTAACACTTGGAGCTTGTAGAGCATTAGGAGGAGTAATTGCCTGTGTAAGAAAAAAAAAAGGCCAGTTTCTTAAGGCAGTTTAGGCATTACATAAAATCCCACATTTGGATCTTGAAGAACATCAGGTCTAATAACCTGATAGTAAACAAAATAAATCTGACCATCTGATCAAGTCACTTGAAAACTACACAAGCACACTTAGAACACGAATAGCATTAGTGGAGTATAAATTCATCATAACACAAACATTAAAAAAACAAAAAACTACTGTTCCTTTTTTTTTACAGAGTATTACTAAATATGAACTTATGGTCAGAAAAAAGAAATTCAGACATTATATATTAATTTAATCAAAATATAAACCTACCCTTCCAACTCGTAAGTATTGTCCCCCAAGGTCAAATAGGTTCATGGAATTGATAGCATCTTGTGTTGCTTGAGAATTTTCATACTCAATAAAACCATACCCTCTGGAAGTACAAATAATGTCATTATGATAAAATTAGATGATCTGCTACATTATTTAATGATTACTCATCTTTCATATTAGAGACAAAAATCCTTGATAATACAAATTGTTAGATGGGCTTCACTAGATTAATGTGATACTGGCGTAGTTGTGGTTACTAGATATAAATATCAATTGATATTGTTTAACACACTAAGTTTTCTTACTGATTATTTTTTACTGAATATTTTTAATACTAACTGCAGCCTACATGGTCACTAAGGAATAATGTTTTCTTATTGTCCACAACAGTAAAACTTTTTTAAAACTAATAAAATATATATATTAGTTTAGAAGTTAAATATCAGGTAAATGTTTTAAAGGTTTAATGAGGCCATATAAGATTCCAACCTTAAGAGTGTGGGGATCGAGTTGGGGGAATAAATAGCAATAACACATGTACTTATCTTGAACACCATTACCTTGTATATTTCCTGAAAAAGGGTAGAAGACTAGGAACTGTCAACTAACATTGTATCTTGCAATAATTGTATTTTTGGTAAAGTTGAAATTTTATTTTATTCAATCTGTACACAAACATGCACACACAACAATTTGTATCCAAATTTAATGCAACCAAAACAAAAATTAGAAGTTAATTGTTCAAAAAGCTTTACAAATTTAACCTTTTTATTTTTTTGAAGTTGAACAGATGTAACATACTTACACAAACGTGGATACTATAAAAATAATTGTTGGTAAGACTAGGTTAATAACAGAGTAATGTCATACAATTTGATAATTTAGAACATATATTTCTTCTTTGTTGTAACGACCTTAATCCCAACAAGTTTGGGGTCAGCCGGGATTTTTTATTTATTTTTAAAGCCAAGAATATTTACACTAGGGTGGCCAGCACAGACAGCAATCATATAGGGTGAATTTATAACATACATCCACCTTATTGAATGGATAGCAACATCTCAAGACACTTGAAACTACTAGCATATCAACTGTACAGAACATCTGTCACTTACTTGTGCTTTCCTGGTATGACTCCAGGTGTAAGAGTGCAAGACTTGATTTTTCCAAAGGCTTCAAAAACACTAAAGACAAACAAATTTATTACCTTTGCTCAATAAAGGGTTTCAGATAGCTATTATTAGCAATTATTAGGAAATGTAAAATCAAAACTAAAACACATATTCAATAAAGTCAACTTGTTTAGGTGTTATATTATCTCATTCTTCAGGATGTAAACAAATTATTAAAAGTTATATTTTCTACAGAAAATAGTTATTAGTGACTTTATCATGTTTCTACTTTGTTATAGAATTATCTGATCACCAGCACGTACAACTTATTAAAGAACTAATCTGTTGTAAGAGGCTAAACCTGAACTTTGCTATACGTTTTCTCTTCCAATGCACAAATAAACAAATACTTAATGACTAAGCTAGTCTTACACCTATCATCACATTTTATAGTCAAATAAATACATCCTGAGAAATAAATTCTTATTAAGTTCTTTCTCTTTAAAAGTATATTTTCAAAAGCTAGTTAAATTTCTAGCAATAAGGCTAATACATGTAATTACATAGAAAGTTACATTTGACTGTTTAGTTTACTTCTTATCATTCGTGAGAGGACATAAAGTGAACACTTACTTAAAATTAAATAAAACTCTTAAACCAAGAACATACAGGTGTCAGTTAAAGACAATGTTCATATATTAAAAACTAATTATACACATAAAGAAAACACAACTGGAAACAATATCAGTTTAACTGTTTTATTTCAAGCCATCGTGAATTATTTATGTTAACAAAATCTTTCAAAACTGAAAATTGTTAGTTATATTTTACTACATAAAAATAGTTCACTAAGTCTTCACATGAAGAAAACTGCTTTATTTATGAAATATGTATTGGTGTTTTGTCATTGCAATCTTATATATTATTATATGTAACCTATTCTGTTCTCTTTTTAATTAAACTCAAAATTATGTTAGACATAAAACAAGAAACCAAAATAACTGTTGTTACTAATTACAAACACCACATGGGTATTAAAAAACTGCTTAATTAAGCATTACATAATAAATATAAATCTAGTATGAAAATGTGGATAACTTGTTACAAAATTAAATTGTCACTGCAAAACTTGTCACCTACAAAAATCCAACATTACTTCTGAAGTATTCATTACATTCAACAAGCTTTTGTTTTTAGTATTTTAACTAACACCAACAATGCTCTACATTTAACATCAACAGCAGTTCTTTTACAATACCATACAAAATGTTTATTTGTTATCACCAATAATGTTTCTATAATAGTCTTGTATACTTATCACCTACAACAATTCTTTTATCCTTACCATTATCAATGTTCATAGAATATCCATATCCTCCATCAATACTATTATATTCATTTAATACAAACACTGTTTTCCTAATGTATTCATTACCTCTGTATTTCTTGTTCTGTTAGATCTGGATGTACCGAGGCTATGTAAATTCGATTATAGCTCTTAGCTTCCTCCATAATCTGATCTATAAGTGGAGCAGCTTGAGGCATGTTACTTGGACGACCAATCTAGAAAAGTATATTACAATGGTATTTCTCATTCAGACTGTACTACTACTAACTGTTTCAACAGTGTAGAGAGGGATAAAATGTTTCCATATCATTAGCACACCCAACATTTTTACACAAAAATTACTTGTTTATATTAAAACAAACTGTTATATAAAAAACAGGTCCTGCAGAAAATATCATAAGCTATAAAAACAAAGGTCTACACAAATTTTAACTATGTCCTCAATTTAATAAAAACATCTCATTATATAGGTCTTGATAGTAATTGTTATTTTTCAACTGAAGATCAAAATTAATTACCTATAATAGGTAAGTGAAAACCGATTGGAAGTTTCAAACGTGTATGGGAATGAAATCCAACAATCATAGAATACAGGTCTTTCTGTATTATGAGTATAACAATACACATAATCATGCTCCTTTTGAAACAATGCTAAAGCAGGCTCTTTCTAGTTTAGATTACTGAATAGCGGTTTAAACATGGGAATGAAATTCAACAATCATGAAACACTGGTCTTTCTGTATTATGGGTCTAACAATACACAATAATTTTTCTTTTGAGACAATGTTGAAGCAGGTTTTTCTAGTTTAGATTACTGAAATAAAGTTTAAATCTTAAATAGGGATAAGGTAAATAAATATTACATTTTCATTAGTTCTAAACATGCGTTAGCTTAGATTCTTTAGGTTTTTCTCTTATTAAGTAAATTTAATAATATTACCACTAGAATATGAATATATTTTTATTGTTTGCAAAATTTCAAATTTGTTTTCTACATCAAAGGCATATTGTACATTAAAGTTCCTAGCAAATGAAAGTGTTTCTCTTGTTTTCTCATACACAGATTCATGTTTCGAAAACATTAAAAATCTTGGAATATATATAAAGGCAACAGATGACACCCATTCTAACTATGAATTTTTGGAAAAATCTTAAATAGCATTAGTAAAAGAAAAGTCAAGCACTTTTGGTTATCAACAGGTGAAGTTTGCAAAACAATATGAAATAATAATGTATATTCTCAATGTTCCATTAAGTAATCTAAAATCAAAAATTTTAAAAAAGAAATGTGAGACCAAAACACTTAAGTTTCCCATGTTACTATTGACACATTTATAATGAAATGAGTTGCATTAGAATGAGAACTAGTTTGGAATTTATGATATTTGTATGTTAAAATGTGATACATCAAATCTGTCATACGACTTATTCCTGAATGCTATTGAGTAGATGACGGTTTTGTAAAATAACTATATGAGGTTATTAATTGCAGAATCAAATGCTTTCATGTATTCTAACAGTTTTTGGTTGCATTTTTGTTGACAGCTCCTATCAATTTCAAGCAATCTTGTATTTCCTATTCTATGTTGATTTTGAAATACATACACTTATAGATTTAACACTTTGAGATCATACACACATCTCATATACAATCTACTCATACTATTGTATGGGTCCTACAACTACTTCTGCCAATATTTCTCTTACTAAGGCACACTTGACACTTCCCACATTTTACTTTGCACCCTAATTTCATTTTTCATTGGGTTTGTTGCCTGAAATGTAATTATAAAATGTATATGCATATGATTTTATTAACTAATATCACAGTCTTATGAATTGATTAAAATCTGAAAGTCACAGATTTTCTCTAAAATCAAACATACCTTAATGTTTCGGCCTCCAATCATGACACCATTCATTTGCTCTAAAGCAAGCTGAGCTGCCTCAGGAAGGTCATACTCAACAAAAGCAAAGCCTTTATGCTTCTGTGTTATGGGATCCCAGGACATGTTAATGGACTTTATGGGACCAAAGGGCAAGAAAGCTTGACGAATGGTATCTTCCTTTAATTCAAAACTAATGCTTCCAACATACACTCTAATGGATAGAAAAGTAAAATACCACAGATCAAAATCTTTAATGAAGAAAGCACAAGAGAAATATAAGTTATTTTTCTTTTAAAGAAATTAAACAGAAAATAAGAACAGAGGACAGTTATCTTTTAGGAAAGACACCAACAGATTATCATCAAAAAATTAAACATATTAATTTTTTAAAGAAAGAAAAGAAATAATAGCATTTACTATAATAACTAAAAGTAGTCAAATTACTGACATTCTAACATTAATAAAGTAATATAATTTAATAAATATACTACACAGTAAATATATTTTTTAAAGTACTAGTGAATAAAATTTCTAGTGTACTCAATAAAATACCCATCTGTTTGTTGAATTTCGTGCAAAGCTATTCATGAGCTATCTGCACCAGTCTTCCCAAATTTATCAGTGACTAACTATAGAGAAGACAGCTAGTCAACACTGCCCACTGTTAACTCTTGGGCTACTTCTTACCAATAAATTGTGGGTTTGACTGTAACATTTTAATGGCCTTATGGCTGAGCATGTTTGACAAGTTTTGACCATGCAACCCTCAGATTGCAAGTTGAGTACTCTAATCACCAGGCTATGTCAGGCCCAAATACATAACTATTTTGAATGACATTTTTCTGCTGGAGGAAACTATGAACTATTTTCTTATGTACTTCATATTACAAGGAATACACTAATACAAATCTAGTGTTCTAAATTAATGTCAGGACATAAACTAATATTAATAAAACAAATAATTTTTGTACCTCTTACTAACAAACATCGTTAATAATAATTCTATAGGAGATTGTCTAGCATAAAAACTGTCACATAAAACATGGTCTATACAACAGTTATTCTACAATTTTTTGGGAATAAGTTTACAAATAACACAACATTTATTACCCCGAGAAATGATAAAACACCCTTATAATGACTCATATGAAATGCTATGAGAGAATACTGAAATAGTTAAAAACATTAGTTGTAATGATTACCAATTTTGTTCATGTTTAAATAATCTGGTTTAAGACATATCTGATGAGGCAACATAGCTAAGAATTAATATTTAACTAAAACAAACAAGTCTTTATCTCCAGTAAAGGAGCATGATATTTTAATCAATACAGTTATTAATTAATACATCCAGAAAGTGCACTAATTAAACTTACCGCAACCATGAGTTCAAGCCATATGAAATATATATATACTGTGAACAAATACATGTTACAATGATATTGTTATAGGAGTACCATAATTTGTGCTATTCACAGTGAAATTTGTTTAACTTTTTTTTCTTAGTGTTAAAAATAGATCTATTCCTCTGAACACTTACATCAGCCAGCTATATAATTCTTTGCATGGAAATTACTCTTTCAGCTTAAAGTTTTGTAAAAGTAAAAAATTAAATTTTGCATAGAAATTAAAAGAATAAAATATATTAGAAATATTAAATTTAAATACAAAGTTTTTAATATTTTTATGACTTATTACACCTATTTTTATTACTTTTATAATTATTCAACAAAAATCTATAGAACTTTAACTTTAAAAAATTATTAGCACATTTTACACAAGGGTGAACAATGCAGTGATGTTTCTAATATAAGTAAAATTCAAATGAAAATAGTGAAACCTAAATATGATGAGTGCACCATCAAACACAATAGATTAAATAATTATACTTTTGAGATAACAAAAAACAATACTATAAATATACATTTTCTATGAAATTCACAAGAGTTAAGGCAAATGTATGTTGTACACTTCCACAGAATGTAGGACTTTAGTTGCTATTAATTGAAAAAAAAGGGTAAAAGTTCACATGCCATTTCTCTCTCATTCATTTATCACATTAAACTTCATCAGTAATACAACTACTGCATACAAGCTACCTGTACCAGTCTAATCCAGAAACACATTTTTTATTTCTGAAAAGCTTAATCTAGGTCCTTCCTAGTGTTCATTACAGTCTCCTACTGTGGTTTTAAAATATCTCAACTGAAAACAAAAATTCAAACTTTAAACAGGAGAATTTCACATATTTTATATTTTACTTATCTTGAACAACAAACACTTTTTTCTATCACAAGTTTTTAACTACTTTTAAGGAATGCATATAATCTGTTTTATTTATTTCAAAGAATGTTCATGAAATAATTCAGATGATTACTTTGGTTCACATCAAAAATTTCTTTTGAAGTTTGAATAATATACAATTTACTTGTTATAATGATTATGTGAAATGTTTTAACATTTTATGCATTTGTACAATATATTTTTATTAATCCAGTGCTATATTCCAATAAAAAATGTTAAAACAAAATGTAAAGAAATTTCGGACTCCAGTTTCTGCCTGAGTAGAGCTAAGATGCTTGAAAACCACAGCTCCAAAATGGACAGACCTAGATCAAGTTCTGGCTAGTCCTGACCCAAGATGTAGTAGTATGGAAAAGCTGACCTGCACATGAGCACCAAAGCCTGTTGCTGTTGAACTTGGGTCCTGAGGCTTGCCATTTGCTGGAAGGAAGAAAAACATCTTTGTACATCCCCAAGACCCACCTCAGTTACTAACCTGCACATTAGTACTAAAGCCTGGTGACGCTGAAGCGTTTTCTGTTGCTACAATAGAAAAAACAGAGTAGAATGTAAGTAATTTAGATATTGCACATACTCAGGCTTAACTTAATACTAAGCTATCTTCAAGTAAATAAGAGTACAAGAGGAACTACACAAACTTACCACAGAATAATTGGAGTTACTTAGGCTTAACTTAATGCTAAGTCAGCTTCAAGCAAACAATAGTAAATGAGAAAAAACACGTATTCACATCAAGTAAATAACAAATAAAATAAAAGCAAGAACAAAACTTACTTGAAGTATTTAGACTCATTAGATTAAATATATGCTAATAAAATCATGATGCGAACAATAGTCACAACAGAAAACAAAGAATAAAGTACAAGCCATATATTAACTATATGTACTCAAAGGTAGTTATAAACAACAAGCATCAAGTAAATAATAGTCAGAAAAGTAAATTGCAATACAAACCACCTTATTCTTTAGTAGCAAAATGTACTCAGGTAAGTTTAGTGCTTATTCTGTAGATTGCTAATGTAACTATTTCAAATTTTGATTTTGTTCAGTAGTTATTTACAAAAACTTGGAAAATGGAGATAAGTTTATTTTCAGTTTACACTTTCTTTTTAATAAAAGACCTACTAAGCTAATTTAATGAATCCTCAATGCCACTATCTTTATTTCATCAGTTTTATTGCTGGCAAGAAGGGGCATAAAACCACACATAGAAGTGTCAAAATAGGCAGCTAAATATGCTCGTGAATTAAAACAACTAGAACTTGTCCAGTACCATGAGAAATCATATACACACACAGGATGTACTATTGTTTAGTGGACATCTAGTGTGAATGTACCACATACTAAATAAGATGCAAGTTTATATAACTTACAGTATTAAATTTCATTAACTCAATATGTATTTCAGTTATTTATACTATTAGCTAAATTAAAATATACTACTAAATTCCTTAAATAGTAATATCTACATTGGCTAAATGCAATGAGCATGGTACATGAAGCTTTACATATGATAATTCTGTTCTGATGCTTAGCAGGCCCAACTTTATATGATGTTTCTTGGGATAAAGGCAAAACACCTCTAATAGTGAGGACACTCAATTGATGACAAAAGGCAGCGTGGTCACAGAGGCTTTCTGTAGTGTGCCTGTCACTCATAATTAAGACTAACTATTATTAATTATAACTTTTATTGAATATTTTTAGCAACTCTTCTGGTAGAAATTATTACATGATGCTCAACTAAGGTGATTAAGGAAAATGAAGATGTTCAATTATTTAAATGTTTTTTCTTTGGCAATATAGTTCAAATTTTGAAATGGTACTACATAAAAGGTTAATTGAAAATTAATGGTGAAAAAAATAATAATGGGGACAATAAGCTTAGTTATAAAAAAAACAGTGCGAGTCCCATATATTTTTAATGAAAATTTCTTCACAGCAAACCTACCTTACATTCAAAATACTGAAGCTACCATTTGCTTTCTATATAACAAAGTTTCATCACTGGCATATAGAGGTATGAAAACATCTACAAAAAATGTTATAATAGATGGCCAAACACATCTGACATGTGCAATTGTGGAGATTAGAGACTATACATTCAGCTGTTCAAGTGTTGTAATTTTGGCATAATTATGTGATAAGTATGGTCAAATTTATAGCAATTGTACTGTATAATAAAATTGATATACCAATAAAAATATTATTGGTAGGAAAAAATAATTAGATGGGAAGGGGAAATATGACTATTCTACAAAAAACTATGCTAACTCTGAATAACTATCAAGTAAACAATAGTTCCAATTAGTCAAAGAGGTACAACAGAAACAGAAACCATGTAGATGGTTAACGTACTTGAGCTAAGGTATAAACTAACAATAAAGCAAACAGGTACAACAGAAACACAAATCACAAAGTTGCTATATGTAAACCACATAGTTACAAAATATACTTGGTCTGTGGTATGTATTAACAATAACCATGAAGCAAGCAATAGGAACAAAATAAACACAAACCACACAGTTGCTAAATGTAATTGGTCTGAGATATACACTACTAACAAAACTTAAAGGATAATGAGGTTTGAACAATGGGCAGTTGGCACATGATTTTTGTAGTGGAAAAAATTTTTTAGTCTGAAATTAGTTTTAAAAATAACTTTCAAGTGAATTGGAGGATAGTAAAAGTTATATAATTTTTTCAACTATTTTGTGATAAAAGAGCTCTGTCTTCTAAGATATGGTAAATAAGTGTACAAAGAAAGTTTGGGTAGAGTAGGTATTTTGGGTGGCTTGACAAACAAATCAATTAAGAATATTTACCATATCTTAATAGTTCTTTTATCATGAAACATTATGTAACTTTAACTATCCTCAGATTGACTTGAAAGTTATTTTTAAACCTAATTTCAGACCCAAAATTTTTTTTTGCTATAATGAGGTTTGTTTAAATTTGTATATACTTTGGTCTGCAATTTTTTTTTCAAATATAGCATGTTTATTACAGAGGATTACACTAATCCTACCTAGGGCTTGCAAGTTAATGCACCAATGATTCCTTATGCAACAGGCATTTATGAAAAATGACTCAAATTCTGCAAAACAAAAGGCTAGTTTTGATTAATTAGGAAAAGATGTTTATTGTTGAGATAATGCTAACTTTATGGATTTTTTTGCTGGTCTTGCCTTTTGCAAAGAGTGTGCAAACTGTTGAAAACCAATTAAATGAAACTGAAGTTTGCAGAGCCATCACATTGCTTCAGCTGGGACACATCCAGATTGAGGTGGCACAGATCATAGGGTGTCACAATCTGTGGTCAGTAGATTGTGGCACAGATACTAGGCTAGAGCAGCATACACCAGGAGGTGAGGCCAGGGTCGCAGAAGGGCTACAGGTGTAGCTGACAACTAGTACCTGCAGAATTTAGCCCTTATAAACCGATAGCACTAGGAGCCTTGGGATTGAGCTTCAGCAAGCCACTGGAGTGCATGTTTCATGCTCAATGGTCATGAAGAGGTTCCATGAGGCTGGACTCCAGAATACCAGTTAAAGCCCCTGTACTAACCCCAAGACAAGGAACAGCCCAGCTGGAATTTGCCCAGGAACATGTCACCTGGACCCTTCAGTAATGGACCTCTGTACTGTTTACAGATGAGAGCAGGTTCTGTGTATCATCAAATGATCAACATGTGAGGGTCTGGAAATGATATTTGGTTCATAACATTGTCCACAATGATGGCTTTGGGGATGGCAACTGCATAAAGGGACATACAGACCTCTATGCAATCGATGGAGGATCCCTCACAGCAAGATGTTACTTGGATGGGATCCTGTTATCCATTATTCGCCCTTTTGCTGGTGCTATCGGAGATGAGTTCATATATCAGAAGGATAATGCCCATCCTCACAACACCAGAATTATGGACCAATTTTTTGAGGATGAAGGAATAGAGGTACTAGATAGGTCTACTAAGTCACCAGACCTAAACCCAATTGAACATGCTTGGGGCTTGCTATGCCAGAAAGAGAGAGCAGTGAAAGACAGACAACTCTCTCTTAAGACTGTCCAAGAGTGGATTGTGCTACCCCAGCAAGTCATCCAAAATGTCATCATAAGTAAGGGGAATATGTGCAGAGAAGTAAGAAACAACAGAGAAGGACCTACCAGCTGCTAAAGACTCATTTTGCTAAGTTTGTTCATCTCAATAACTTATTTTTTCTCTGATATTTGTGCAGTCAAATATTGGCAGTTTTTGTTAATTTTACTTTTTTAGTTATTTGTAAATGAATTTTTAACAAACAAGTTTCATCAGTATTGAATGTCTCTGTGTTTTTTTCTTCAAACCAAAAAAACATATCAAATCCTCATTATCCTTTCATTTTTGTGACTGGGTCTGAAGTAAATATTAACAATAACCATCAAGAAAATAATGGATACAACAGAAACATAAATGACATATTTACTTAGTGTACTTAGTCTGAGGTAAATATTAACAATAGCCATCAACAAAACAAACCACCTAGTTGTTAAATATATTTGGGCTAAGGTATATACACTAATAATAAAAAAAACACGAGTAATCTAATTGTTTAATGTACTTGGGCTAAGATACATACTCTCAATAACCATCAAGCAAAGAGTACAGCAGAAACACAAGCAACCTAAAGCCAAAGACCATAATACTAAGTTGAAATAATACCAACCTAATGAGATATGAGACAAACATGGGAAAAATAAAAATAAAAGAAGCCTTCTATATCTACATAAATGATAACACAGGCTACCTAGTCCACATGTCAACAATACTTGGATACCATTTTTGAAAGCCATCAAATAAGTTAGTTGATTCAAGTCCTAATGGAGGAAACCAATGATGAGTGGGTAACACCCAAGATTTTCTATAAAGAAGACTCAGGATCAAAGCCCAGCTACTACTAACACAGAAATAATCCTTCTCAGGATTTTATTAAATTAGTTAGTAATTAATATTGGGTATTTAAAAAAAAGTAACAAATTAATAAATAGATGTAGATGATTCTACAGGCTACTAACCTTGAGAACAAATGATATCAAATCATCTTACCAAATTACTTAAATAACTACATATATTCAGGTTTTAGGTTAATACTAACAATAAATACCAATAAAATATAAATTTAACTTAAGATAACTCTGCTTCTCAAGAGAATAATGATGAAACACATCATACTACCTAAAACTGGTTTTCATTCAGTAAAAAAGTAGGTACTTTTACAAGTTATTTTTTCCTTTACAATAAAAACAAACACACATTAAAATGTTAATGGTCATTAATGTCATCAAGAACTTTATGTGAAAAAAAAATTTACTTCCATATCAAAATGCTTAACCTCAAGTTCTTAGCTTTTAAAAAAAAAATTATAAGTATGCTATTTGCATTGTATTTTATTACACAGTTACAAGAACAATTGTAAACAGTCACTTATAATAAAAATACATTCTGACATACCACTATAAAATTGTTTTACTAATTTAGGGT